GTATAATTGGATTTTAGTCTCTTTTCTGGTGGTGCTCGAGTTCCAAATAGGTCGAAGCCTATTGAACACATCTGTAGCTCTATTAAGTCTTGCTTGAACATCAATGTCTGATTCTCCGTTAGCCGCTATCTTACTACCCAAATACACGAAATCTTCAATCTCTGATCCTTCAATCGTTACTGACCTGTCCAGATTGTGTCCGACTGTCATGGTCTTAGTTTTCGTAGCATTTATTCTAAGCCCAACTTTCTTACCAATCTCTTATAAAATCCTTGTCATATCTTGGATGTTTTGTCTATCTTTCTCAATTAAAGCGATATCATCCGCAAAGTCCAAAACAGTTAAAGTTCAATCACCCCACATTATCCCATCACCAACATTCATCGCTTTTTTCATGACAAAATCTACCACCGAAAGAAAGAAAAAGGGAGATAACACACAACCTTGTCTCATTCCACTGTATACATTAAAGTACTCCGTGGTCCCACAGTATTGATACAGTATTTAAAATAATTTAAAAGCCAAGGAAAATTCTACGTGGCGTCAAAAATAGTGGAACAAAGCGAATTCTTCAAAAACAATTTCACAAAATTTTCACTTGAGATTGCCTGTAGTTCTTCTGTTGGACTTCTAATGACTTGTATTTAGTCCTTTGTTTTTATCTTCCTTTATCGCATATTACACAGGCCTGCGAATTTAAACTTCATAAAGGTTGTTTTTGCTTTATTAACGGATTTTTCATAATTCAGCTACGCAAATAATATTAATTTTTTTCTGTCACGTAAGGATTTTTTACAAATCGGGAAGAAAAAACTCTTACTTAGATCAAATTATTATTTCGTTTACTACAATGAACATTTTTTATTATTATGTTCGTTAACAAAATTATAAACAAACTGATGAAAAGGGAAGAACATTGATGTCAAACGAATATGCCTCCTCATTTATCCTGATTTTTTTGTGAAATCTACGTGTTTTGGTCTTTCTTTTATGTTTTTTGTTATGACGTTGTGTGAAAAATCTGTACGTGCTGGAGAAAAAGGGATATCATTTTCGGATTCAGCGTTCAGGAATTACAGCAGAATTACTGTATGTAAAATTTCAAGACAGTAAAACTATTGCAGGCTTGTGTTGTCACACTTTGTGATCTCGTGTACAAATCGAACAATTTGTTTTGTGATAATTCATGAAAGATAGAATGTCATCGTTGTTTCTGCTATTACTTTGCTTATAATACGTTAATACAAAAGATATATAGTTATTTTAAGACTCAACTGATGTGGACAGCTAAGAAGTAAAAATGTTCTATAGTTGGATGAAGTAAACATTTTAATTGTCTTTAACCATGTAATGTGAACAACAACTTCAACACATCACCAAGACTCAAGATATCGTTTTAAGTACTACATAAGATCATTGTTGTAACTATTAACTGGAATACATCGTTTAAAGTATTAGATAGGGTAATTGATCTAGTCATTAAAACGGTATTTTTGTTTGTCGTTAAGCACAAAGCAACACAATGGGCTATCTGTGCTCTGCTCACTGCGGGTATCGAAATCTGATTTTTTAGCCTTATATGCCCTCATGCTTACCCGCTGAGCTACCTGTTGGGGGGGGGGGCATTGGAAAGGAAACTCATATTTCAGTGACTGACAGTTGGAGGTTAAATGCCACATTTCAATGACTGACAGTTGGAGGTTAAATACCACATTTCAGTGACTGGCAGTTGGAGGTTAAATACCACATTTCAGTGACTGACAGTTGGAGGTTAAATACCACATTTCAGTGACTGACAGTTGGAGGTTAAATACCACATTTCAGTGACTGACAGTTGGAGGTTAAATACCACATCTCCATTCGTCTCTTGTTCCCAGCCAAGTAGAGAGGAACGTT